AGAAAGGAAGAAAAGGGAGGAAGGAAAAGCCTGAATGTGGAGGAAGGAGGACAAAAGGAGAGACCCAGGAGACCGAGGGCAGGTCAGTGGACTTCCCTCAGCTAAAGGGGAAGGGCATGAAATCCCTCCTGCCACTGCTTAGTTTTTTCTTCTTCTGGTTTTTGGCTTGTTTCAGTCTTTTTAGTGATGATTTAAACGTTATTGCCTCTTTTTTCACTGTAAAACGTTCGCAGAATAGATCCGTCTTGGTGGGCGGTGTAAAAGCTAAATAAATAATAGACAAAGAGATCAAAGCAAAAAAGGTCAAAGGGATGATGGAGGGAAGAGATGCTTCAGTTGTGTGGAATCTGCAAATGTTTGTCTTTGTGCCCGAGTGTGACACTGTGTGTTCGCACGCAATGCGTGTCAAATGGGTGGTCCTGTGGGGAAGAAACCTTGAGAGAACCGGAGCAGGGAGAAGAGCTCCACTTCGGGCTGTATAAAAGGAAGCCAAAGTCTACGTCCATCATCCTTGGAAGTCTCGAGCAGAAAGCTTCACGTCAACGGAGGCGCCGGCAGAGAAAGAGCAGCAGCCAAAGGGAAGACCCGGGCGTAGGGGGTCCAGTGCTGGTCGTCGCCCCTCAAAAAAGAGACAAGAGTGGGGCTGGAGACCGGGGGGGCAGAAGGGAGGGAGCCAGAAGAGGATGGGATTGGGGCACCTCCTCGATGAGCGCCTGGCATGATTCAGATATATATGAAATTATGCGGTGTGTGTGTGTGTGTGTGTGTCAAGTGGATGGAGGGGAGCCTCTTTTCCCTCTCATGCAGTACCAGAACCCTCAGGGGACACCCACTCCAATGGGGCGCTGCTGGAGGAAGAAGCGAGAAAAGAAAATATTTCTTGACTTAGCATGTTAATCTGTGGAACTCCTTGTCACGGGATGCGGAGGGGTCTCCCGGAGAGCCAGGGAGCGAGGCGCTCCTTGCCCCTCCCCTCCCCTGCCTCCCTCCTTGCCCTCCCC